TTTTCACACAGAGAGTAGTGGGAATGTGGAACATGCTACCACAAGGAGTTGTTGAGGCAAATAGCATAGATGTATTTAAGGGAAAGCTCGACAGGTACATGAGGGAGAAAGGAGTAGAAGGTTATGCTTGAAGGCGTAGTCGAGGAAGGGCAGGAGGAGGCTCATGTGGAGCATAAACACCGGCATAGACCAGTTGGGCCGAATGGCCTGTTTCTGTTCTGTATATTCTAGTGTATTCTAATGTAAGACCCACATTGGCATAATCAAGACTGATGTTCTAGTGTAGTGCTGGGGGGAGCACTGTATTGTTAGAACTTGCTTTCATTTGGATGAGATGTTAAAAGTAAGGTCTTGTCTGCCTGTTCAGGAGGACGTTACGAAACTATTCAAGTGGGGAAGGGAATTTCTCCTTGTCTCCTGACCAAGAAAAATTGGTCATTCATTTCATGGCTGTTAGTGTTTTGAGCAAATTGGTCATGACACTTTATTTCAATTACCTGTGAAGCGTATTGAGAAGATTTGACATGGATCAGATCCAAGGCTGTTGTAAATGTGGCAGGTGATCCATGCTAGACAATATTGAGACAATAATAATTCTTGCATTCGCTATCATGCCTTTCACATAAGGAAAATGTTTCAAAGTGCTTCACAGGATATCCTGCAAAGTTGGGTGGCTGTGTAATTTTGTAGGTGAATGCGGGAGTCAATTTTACGCAGAGTAATGTCGCACAGACAATCATGAAATGAATGAACAATTTTAGTTTGCATTCTTGACCAGGACACAGGGAGAAACTGCCTTCCCTTTACAAATAGTCTGTAGTCCTGTAGCTCGGAGGTTAGAGCACTCGCCTTGCAAGCGAGACACCTGGGTTCAATTCCAGGCAGGGCGAAACCTTGGGCAAGTTTCCTTACTCCACACTCCTTATAATAATCCCTCCAAAAAACAAAAACAATAATAAATTGGCCATTTTCAATCCACGACTGTTTGCGCAATTGGCTGCGGCGTTTCGCCCGCAAACATACAGTCAATTCACTTTACAGTCTATTCTGTGAAGCGCTTTGAGACATTGATAAGACGTGAAAGCGCTTTATCAAATGCAATGATTATTATTATATTATTAAATAGTGCTGTGGGAACTTTAAAGTCCACCTGAACAGACAGAAGGGGCTTCGGTTTAATGTCTCAACTGAAGGACGGCACCTCTGCCAATGCAATGCTTCCCCCAGCATTGGACTGGAGTGTCAGCCGGGACTATATGAGTTCAAAGTCTCAGCATGGGGCCTTAAACCCACAACTCTCTGACTTATTTGTGCGAGTCGCATTCCTAAATAAAAAAATCTTGTTAAGAAATCCCCCAAAACACAGACCCCCCCCCCCCCACCATATGAAAAGTGTGGTTGAAATCCGAACCACGGCAAGTTAAGACCATAAAGATTCTCCGGAATTCTTAAAAAGAACCCGGAGTCCAACTTAAGCCGAATTGAGGAATTTTCCACAGTTGATTGCTCAGCCTTAAATCTTAACACAAAGTGGGCTGACAGGCTAAGACCGGGTGAAATTTCAGCCCGTGCTCTGTACCATCTCAGCTACACACTGAACCATCATTGGGGTTGGGTGACTTGTCTTCATTTAATTTAATTCCTCTCCCAAACCCCGCCGCCGAATTCCCCCACCAATTTTTTTTGATAAAAAAACGAAATTGGCTTTTCAAGAATTTTGCCAAGTGGCACATTTAAGGCGATCAAAAAAGACAACAACAAATTACGTTTGTACAGCGCCTTTCACGTTGAGCAGATGTCCCAAGTCACTGTACAGTCAGGGATTGAGACCCATGCTGGGGGTTGGGATCAGGAGGGGTGAAGGGCAGGAAGGGTAGGGGAAGGAGGGTGACCAAAGACACGGTCGAAGAGGAGAGTTGTAAAACAAAGAAGAGGGAGGAAAGTGGCCGTTGCATTTATAAACAGGAGCAGATGATGTGAGAAGGAGTGAGCGAGGGGTTTGTATGGGGAGATCAGGCAGGGTTTTGGTGGCAGACGTCTCCTCACCTCGCATGTATCGCCTGTCAAACTTTAAATAGGTACCTGTTAGTCATTTTAGCCAAGAGGCATTTCTTTAATGATCAGAGCTTTTTTTTTTAACCCGCTCCGAGCAATGCTAAGTTTCAAGCATGTGCTGATTTAGGCTAATTCTGCGCAAAGTGGATTTAATAATATTATTAATAATAATCCTTGCATTTGATATTGCATTTGATATAAACGTCTCAAAGCGCTTCACAGGATATACTGTGAAGTGCAGTGACTGTGTATTGTGAGCGAAACGCGGCAGCCAGTTGCGCACAGCAGTGTCCCACAAACACCCGCGGAGGGAGTGATCAATTTTATTTGGGGGATTGCTGAAAAAAGCGTTTTTTTCCTGCTTCTGGCTGTTGTTCGGACAGAATTATCCCGAACGAATGATTACAAATAGGATTAAATAAAGGTCCCCAGTTGGCTTTTGTTTTTAATATAATAATAATAATAATAATCTTTGCATTTGATATAGCTACTTATCAACAACAACAACAACAAGATTTCATTTATAGAGCGCCTTTCACGTCGGGAGGACGTCCCAAGGCGCTGGACAGTTGGGTCAGGACCCGAGCAGGGGGGAAATGGTCAGGGTGAGGGGAGGGAAGGGAGGGAACGAGGAGGGGGTAGAGAGTCGAGAGGGGAGCTGAAGGCACGGTCAAAGAGAAAGGTCTGGGAAGTGTTTTGAGATGTCTCAGCCAAGTGGTAGGCCTATCACTTGGCTGAGACATCTCAAAACACTTCCCAGAATATATTGTAAAGTAGATTGACTATATTTTATGAGCGAAACACTTTACATTTTTAAATTTACTTTAAATTACTATACAAATAGACAGTCAATTCACTTTACAGTATATTTTGTGAAGCACTGTGAGAAGTCTCAAAGAGCTGATAAGGCGCTGTATCAAATGCAAGGATTATTATTATTATCATTCACCACTCTGATTATTCTCAGAGTAGAGAATTCCCTGCCAAGTATAACATTCCCTGCAAAAGCAGCTCTGCTCTGCGGTCTGTCAGGATTCACAGTGCACCAGCAGAGGGTGAGAGAATATATCAAAAAATCCTAAACTCGTGCTGCTTTCAGACCATATGAGTCTGGACACTCTTAAGTAGCAATATAACACAGATACCTTCCCTCCACACACAGACGTCAGCCTGCGAGTGCCACAGTGACCCGGAAACACCATTAATCATAAGCTCATCCAAAGACACAGGTATCCACTGCTGAAAATCTCAAGCTGCTTTAAGCCTCTCTCTCTCTCTCTCTCTCGCTCACTCACACTCTCGTTCCATCCTCTCTCCTCTGAAGGCTTAAGGGTTAAGCATGCATTAAAACCAACCACCGACCGACTGAACACTCGTCACAAAAATTTGCTGCATTTACACAGTGCCTGAGCTCGGCGGCGTAGGTTAGGGTCTGATGTCTGTGAAATGAGGATGTTTAAAAAGTATTCAGAGTTAAAATAAACAGGACGGAGGAGCTCTCCCAGCAAATGAGCACAACAGCTGTTGCTGTGACTCAATCCACGACTTGTTTGTGAGATACTGCCATGCACAATTGGCTGCCGCGTTTCGCCCACAAAATACTGTATAATAATAATAATAATAATTCTTGCATTTGATATAGCGCTTTTCACGTCTTCTAGAAGAATAGACTGTAAAGCGAATTGACTGTATATTTGTGGGCAAAATGCGGCAGCCAATTGCGCACAGCAGTGTCCCACAAACAGTCATGGATTGAAATGACCAATTTATTATTTTTTTTCGAGGGATTATTATCAGGCGTGTGGAGTAAGGAAACTTGCCCAAGGTTTCGCCCTGCTGGGAATTGAACCCAGGTCTCTCGCTTGCAAAGCGAGTGCTCTAACCACTGAGTTACAGGACTCTGTATACAGTCAATTCGCTCTGAATAGCGCTTTGAGACGTCTCGAAGACATGATAAGGGGTGATATCAAATGCAAGGATTATTATTGATATTGTTATTGCTGCGCAGGCACGGAAAGGCTCTGCAAGGGAATACACGTCACTCTCTCTCCCAGCCTCTACCTTACCTCCGCTGTATCTGTCTGTCAGCCGGGGCAGTGAGAGAGGGAGAGGGAGAGGGAGAAAGAGAGAGTGCGCTCTGAACGATGTGATGGGATTTGCAGAGCTCAATTAGGAATAAAGAGCCCTTCAAGCCAGGCTCATGTTTTATGCAGGAACTTGAGGACCTTTGTATCGATTAGTTAATGCGTGCTGTGTGTTTAGCCAGTTTTTGCTTCGGCCTGCATTCATTCCAAAGCCTAGAGAGAGGGGTTAAAAAAGCAGGCAGCCACCCTTTTTGCTTTGGAGGTGGCTTTGGCTTGAATTCATTGCAAAGCCGAGAGAGGGGGTTTAAAAGAAAAATCAGGCAGAAAGCACCCCCTACCCCAGCCCACCATCAAACCCAAGCTAAATATACCCTTCTCCCCTCCTCATACATAGACATATATATAAAAAAAATTGGCAGGGGAGGTCAGCCGAGTGTCTGTCACATGCGGAAAACCATCACTGTGCTTAAGAGTATCTTTTTCTTCGAAAATACTGTATATCTTAAAAAACCACAAACGTTTCCAAGATCTATCAGTCTCACTTCACCACAGCGGAAAGCTGCAGTTTCCTATCAAGTCCAGTAGCTCTGGAAAGAGCACTGACTCAAACACACACACACATACACTGTGTGTATATATAGATAGGGGGAGAGATAGACTGTATTTCCTCCTTTGCATTCAGTCAAAAAAGCAGCTGATCTCTTAAGTCTTAAGAGGTTTGTGGCAAAGGGGCTAGTCAGTTTTTTTTTCACACACACATACACACAAGTGAAGCTACACTTCCCCAAACATTGGCTAGAGGGTGCAAAGCTCAGCTCATAATTTATTCTGCCCATCACAAATGACTTGCTTGGTCACATGCTGAGGCTATGCAGTTTTAAGAGTGCTTTAATCTGCATCCACTACTGCAGCTGGTGCTAAAGTAGCAACAATATCAAGCAACTTTGCCTTCTGCTGAGAGCTGCTGCTGTCAAGAGCGTTTTAAGCAACGAAGCAAGTCAGTAAGTAAGGAGTATTTCATTTGCATTTATTTTTCTTTACACATCAGATGACAGGAGCTTGCAATGTGCTTTTTTTTAATACGTTTTATTTTGGGAGGTGTGTGTGTGTGTGTGTGTGTGTGTGCAAGAGGCACATTAAAAAAAAAGGATGGTTGTGTTCAATTCAAAATGTGATTTTTTTTGAATTGATTGAAATAACAGTCATTTTTCCACCTTTAACAGCCTCTCTCTCCCTCTCTCATCTCTTCCCTCCTCATCTCATCTCATCTCATCTCTCCTCTCCCCTCTTCCTCTCTTCATCCCACTTCTATGTGTCAGTGTTTTATCAGTAAAACGTTGGTGTGAGGGCTGAGGTGCAATCAGATTAGATGGGGATGGGATTGGAGAAGGGAAGGGAGAGAGATGGAGATGGGGTTGTGTGTATGTGTGTGTGTGTTTTGGGAGCAAAAGAGGCAACAATGTCTTTGAAGCTTAATTTGGGATAAGAGGATGAGAGAGAGGAGAGCTTCATTGCATTGTGATGGGATGGGCTGCCAGGGACTGGCAGCTGGAGTTAAGTGAAAGTGAAAAGAGTTGGGCACTGAGAGACAATTAGCTTGGATTCTCTCATCTTCTTCTCTGTAGCACTGCTCTTGTGTTTAAGGGTCACATAAGCTGCCGACCCAGTGTCAGCAGTTCTGCATGGAAGCTATTATGTATTCCTGATTGATTAGATTTAGCGGAAATACTCTCTCTTTCTCTCTTTCTTCACTCCCCCCCCCCCCACCCCACAACCTCTTCACTTTTTTTCCTCTCTCTCACCCCCTCTCTTTCTCTCCGCTACTTTCATAGCTTCAGATCAGGGGAAGGAGGAAAGAGAGAGAAATATGTATATATATATAGAGAGAGAGAGAGAGCGAGAGAAAGAGAAGAGATAATTATATAATAAAATAATAATTTGGTCACTCAACCCACAACTGTTTGCGGGACACTGCTGTGCGCAATTGGTTGCCTCGTTTCGCCACACAAAATATATAGAGTCTATACAATATATACACTTTACAGTATATTCCGTGAAGCGCTTTGAGACGTCTAAAAACGCTATGTCAAATGCGAGGATTATGTTAAGGATTATTCTAAGGAGGAGGAGAAGAGGGTGGTTTAAGAGGAGAGATGTTTAGCTCATCACAGCCAGCTGCTAATTGTTTTTTTTTGTCACTGCCGTTTCTTACCAGGGACCACTTTTGACTTGTTAAGTCAATTTAGAGGGAGCTTTCAGGACAGAGTGAACCCGGTGTGGAGGGAAGTTTAAAAATTCAGCAGCCCAGACGTCCACGGTATGCTGTTCGTTCATTTAAATTTTTTGTTTGTAATTAATATTCAAAACCAAAAGTCTCTTCCCCCCCCCCCCCCCCCACCCGGTGATGTTTTAAGATGCAAATTATTTAAAAATTATTTTAAGATCTCAACGACCTGATAAGGTGCAAATATCAAATGCGAAGATAATTCTTATTATACACGGGCGGACGGATCGAATGCTGCATGCTGAAATCTGTTTATTCCGCCGCATGCAATCTATCACACTTGGAAGCCGGGGACGAAAGGATTTCAAGATCAGCCCGTCCGCTCAGACTGACCTTTCCTTTTTCAGTAAAAGGCACAATTTCCCCTTTTGGCTGCGTGTGGCATGTTCGGCAATTTAATGGGAACGGCAGGTCCTTTATATTTCTTCTGTCGGGTAATTTGTTTCTGCCCTAAATTGTGTACTGACATCTTGAAGATGTGATAAAGTGCTGTATCAAATGCAAAGATTATTATGATTAACGTTAACACAATATATATTAATATGATTATTACATTTAACACAACGATCCTGTAATGTTAGTTGCCCCAAGTAATTCAGAATGAGCGAGACGCAAATTTGCTCTAATTTAATCACTCACTGTTTGCTCCCGACTCACGATAATTGTGTGCCGAGCTTTCTGATAATTGTGGTTTGTAACAATTATGTATATTGTTTGCATGGATCAAAGGTATTTTTTTTTGGGTGGGGTGGGTGGGAACATCTGCTTTTCAAAAGCGAGATTAAAGCTCAATTATCCCAGAGCAACGGAGAACAATCCTCGGGGTATAGATTAAATAAAAAACAGTTACAAATGTCTCATTTGATGAGCGCGGATGTGGTGGGAATTGAAAAGGTACTGTTGGGAATCTACCCACGCCTTCCCTTCCCGATTGTTATCCAGCCGTTAATAATAATCATATTCCTTGCATTTGATATAACACCTTATCAATAAATAAATAATAATAATTTGGTCACTCAATCCACGACTGTTTGTGGGACACTGCTGTGCGCAATTGGCTGCCGTGTTTCGCCCACAAAAATATACACTTTACATATATTCTGTGAAGCGCTTTGAGACGTCGCGAAGAGGTGATAAGGCGCTATATCAAATGCAAGAATTAATATATTATTATCAGAATATACTATAAAGTGCATTCAGTGACTGTATATTTTGTGGGGGTTATATTTTGTTCCCATTAAGCAACCCCTAGACTATAAGGTGGATGTTAGATGAGTAAATGCTTCAGTTATAATGTTACCAGACTGATCGCTAGTATCACAGTATCATAGATCTGGTTGCTTGTCTGTCTTTGGAAGTTTCCTGAACTGCACATGAGAAATGCCTCCTGTGTTTTCTGTTCAAACACTCCCTCCTTGGCTCGTTGTGAGCTGTGTTTTCTTCGGCTAAGCGGTGAGTGCAAGGGGCGCAGTACACAGTAGGCTGCAGCTGCCTCCTGTGCTGAGATGGTTAACAAGAAGGTTGTTGTGAGAAACGGCTGAGTTTTTTCTCTGGATGTGTGAATGGGCAACTGTGAGGGAAGCCTCTGTGTGTGTGTAAGTGCGCGCATGTGTGTGTGTATAATTGTGTGTATGTGTGTGCGTGTGTGCGCATCTACGCTTTAAAACTATGGAACTCTCTCCTTAATTCCACCGCCTCACCTCCTCCTTCCCTGTCTTTACATCGCATCTGAAGACTCTTCTCTTCGATTGTGCCTACGGTCACCTCTCCCACTCTTCCTTCTCCCCCAGCCCCCGGCTTGATGTCAAACTCCGTCACTGTTAAGAGCTCCGACATGCTGCTCCATGTGAAGCATACTGTATGAAGCAAGTAGTTGTTGTTGATGGTTATTGTTGTGTGTGTGTTTATGCGCGTGTGGACTGAAATGGCAGACTCGTAATACATCCTGTGTTGTTGAGGTGTATTCCTGCATGGAACAAATCCCCCCCCCCCAACCCCACCCCACCTCCCCACCCAGTAATTTACCATAATAAACTCTGCCTCTGGGCTTCAGGTGGAGTCTGGAAATGACACCAAGTTACTTTCACGGTTGTTCACGGGACTTTGCCGCGCGCAAATTGTCTGCCACGTTCGCTTACAAAACACACAGTCACTACACTTTACTGCGAATCCCGCAAAACGCCTTGAGATGTCCTCCCAACATGAAAGGTCAGCCGTATCAAGCACAACGATTATTATTTTGGTCTTAGTCCAGGTTATTGGCCCCACTTTCTCACAAGAGCAGCCAAATACCTCCTGTTTGTATTGATTTAATATTATTGTATTAAGCAAATTCTTCCTGTCTCCGTTCCCTCTCTGGCTCTGTATTTCATCCCCCGCCCCTTAAAAAGCTGTGTCTTTTGACTGCATCTTTTGTCATCTCCAACGTAAACCCCATCCCCATTCCGCCACCCCCCACCCATCCCATCTCCCACCCCACTTGGGCTCGCGTTCCGTCTTGGCGAAGTAGTTTTGAGACCCAAAAAGGAGACCCAAATAAGTGTGACTTGTTGTAGTTTGCACTGGAATCATAAAGGGGAGTGTTCGAAGCAGTTGTTTCCAAAGCCTATGTTTAAAATCAATTTAATTTTTCCTTTGTTTATTGTTGCATCTGCCCAGAAAGCGAACTCCCAGCCTTTGGATCAATGAAGAAGACTCTCTTTCTCTCTCTCTCTCTCTCCCCGCACCCCCCATGGCGTTGGCTTTGTAGAACTTCCAAAGACCGCATGTACTGTTCTTACAAGAAATTATACATTCTGTACCCAAAACTATTTTGAGACTCTGGTTGTTGTCGCGGTAGGAGAGAAAATCATTCTCCATTGAGAAGTGAAACCTATTAATTTCAAGAACAACAACTTGCATTTATTTAGCGCCCTTCAAGCAGTGTAGTGTCTCGGAGCGCTTAACAGTGACAGAGTGTCTGGGGGTAGTGGGTAGTTGACTTTAAGCACGGTCGAAGAGGAAGGTCTGAAAACAGGGACGAAAGGGCTAGACGGAGGGATTGGGAGAGATAGTTCCAAAGCTTCGGGGTGTAGTGGCTGAAAGCACGGCCACGGATGGTGGAGTGGAGGGGACATGGGGCAAGCAAGAGGCTGGGATCAACTGAGCAATGTTGGAGTGGAGAGGGAGGAAGCAGGTTAGAAAGGTAGGGAGGTCCCAGCGTGTGAAGGGATTTGTAGGTGAATTTGAGGATCCATTCTGTGATTTTTGACAAACCAAAAGGGGTTGATCTTGGCGTTCAAAACTACCAGGAGTTTTCGATAAGGTGGATAGTTAGAAGCTATTTCTACCATTCAGAGAGTCAGCAACTGGAGGCTAGAGAGTTAAGATCATAATAATAATAATCATCACAATATTAGATTATCAGCCAAAATAAAATAAAAACACACGCACACACACGCATTGGACACTACCAAAAATTGTAGTTGAAATAGGGAAAATATTTGAAAAGGAAAAAATGCTTAAGGAGAAATGCTGGAGGGGAGGACGGTGGGGTGGGCTGGGGAGGTGTGGTGGGCTCTGGGGGGTGGGAGAAGAGAGGAGGAGGATTGGGGACTGAACAATTTCAGAAAGCCGCACAGATACGATGGGCTGAATGACCTCTGAATGTGCCAGTACATTCAAGAATTCTCTTGAGAGTTGAAAGTTGATGTCTGGACGTCACGCTAAAGTTATAATAATCCTTGCGTTTGCGCCTTATCACGTCATCGAGGCGATTCAAAGCGCTTTCCAAGATATACTGAAAAGTGAATTGACTGTATTTCGTGGGCAAAATTTGCGCACAACAGCTACAAAGTAAGTGAGGACCAATTTTATTTGTGGGATTGTTGGTCAGGACGTAGAGAGAGAGAGAAACCATCTTTTTTCAAATAGTGGCATGGGATTTTTTAACTTCCACCTAAACAAGCAAATTGGACCTTGGTTTAAAGTTTCAACTGTAGGACGGTATTTCCATCAGTGCAATACTTCCCCGGTGCTGCATTGGAGTGCCATCTTAGACTAAGAGATTCCGAGTCCCGAAGTGGGGCTTGAACCCCACAGTCTTCGAACTCAGAGGCGGGAATGCTTTAATTCAGGTTCTTAAAGTTTTCTTAATTTGAAAGAGGTCTTGCCGCCCCACGGCAACACAGTCCTGACCTCTCTGCTTGAGGCTCCCTCTTAACCAGGGGAATGGCACCACACAGCTTATCTCTAACGTGCACCTTGTGAAAATGTGGTTTCTTGATGAGAAGGTCCCCGTGTATTCAATAGGTAATTGTTCAAGAGTTAAATCTCCCGCTGTTGGCTGCTGATACTGGAACAGGATAAAGGAGAGAGGGAGAACACTTTGTGCTATTTTGAATAAGTTATACAGAAGAAACAAAGTGCAAGTGATCCCAAAAATTAGATTTGCAGATCGTGTTTCGAAAAATTGGATTTGCCTTGTTAATGGTTCTTAATTATTCTCTCTCTTTGTCTATCTCTCTCTCTCTCTTTCCCTTTTACTCTCTCTCTCTTTCCCTTTCTCTCTTTTCCTTTCACTCTCTTTTTCTCGCTCTTTCTATCCTCCTTTTTGCCTTCTTTATCTTCTCTCACTTTTGCTCTCTCTCTCTTTCGATCCTTTACAGTTTATTTTGCTCTCTCCTCTATCCCCATCATTTCTTTCCTTCCTGTCTTTCTCGTTTTTTTTCTCTCTCTCTTCCTTTTTTTCTCTTTCGCGCTGTCTTTCCTTTTTGCTCTTTAATCACTACCTCAGTGGTTGGCTTTCTGTGTTCTTTCTCAGGGAGACATTGCAGAGACAAGCACAAAATATTAATATTGTACTTAAATTGTCAATGAAGCATCTTTCACAACACCCTGAGCGATGGAACATGACAATGTAGTTGTGGCTCAGTCCTTCTAATCCCTTTTCCTTTGGTCTCTTGTCTCACGCTTGCTTGCACAAGTATTACAGTGGAATGTGATGAGAGACGGTTGTTTCGAACCAGATTCCATGTAATGATGTCTCGGAGCGC